GCCACACACACACACACACACACACACACACACACAAAATTAATTAAATAAATAAATTTTTAAAAAAAAATTTATCTTTGTAAAAATAATGTTATTTGATAAATACTTTATTTTTTCTATTTGAAGATTATAAAATCCTTGATCGACCATAGCCAGTCAGTCCTCCAAGCTCTCCTCTCCCCACCTATCTGTACTCCCAGGTATTCACGAGTGAATTCTGAGAAGATGAACCAAGCTGCAGCTGGCTGATCATGGGCTCCAAACACGAGCCCCCTCAGGCCCCCTCAGGCCAGACTCTGGCAGTCAGGAGGGCAGCAGCTCTCGAATACCTTAGTCACAGAGTATTTATTCCCCTGGTTACTGTGCTATTTTCATTCAGACTCTAGAAAATTCAGGAGCCCTTATTAGGTATCACATGAAACTAGCTTCACCCACAATAAAATTCCATCCTCCAAGAAATTAAAGCTTATAAATTTTATTTAAATCAATGTTACTACTGTAGACATATCTTGTTTGTTTGTTTGTTTTATAAATCTTGAAGAATAAAACACATGGATTTAGTTTCTGCTATTCTTTGCAAAAATATCAAAACTACTAGTGCAATGTTGAAAAATGTTAATAGGCCTTTTTCTCTTCTTGCATGAAAAGGAATGCACTATTTACATATGGAGGCTCCTGTCAAGGTGATTCACAGAGATCTCAAGTCAAGAAATGGTAATATACTCACATATTTTTATTTTACTTAACCAGAACCCTAACCTACTTACTACAAATTACATATACCTATATATAGAAGCATTGGGCTTTACATATCCTTTGTAACTTGTTGTTTGACAGCTGATATCCTAACAATCTTTCCACTATTAATAAATGACCAAAATCTCTATATTATTTAAAGAAACTGCATACTGTTCCATTATATAAATATAGCATGGAATGTGGACATCTGGATTGTTTACATTTTTTTCCACAATAAGAAATGTTTGACTGAATACCTTTCAGCCAAATTTTTCAACACCTCTTATTTCCCTAGAATCATTTCCTAAAAGAGATTTTGCTGGGTCAAAGTGTGTAGTTGTATATTTTTAGTCTTCTATTTTTAGATGGTTCTCTGTACTAGCAGTTTTGAGTTTTGTTCTTCTTACTTCTGAATTATATGGTGTAAATTTTTTTATGTCATTCATGCCTTATTCCCTGGAGTAATGCCCCAAAATAATCACCATTCTTGGAAATATGGAAGGTAAAGTCTTTCTTTTCCTTCTTTCTCTTCTTCTATACTTTATGTAGTTTATTTGTGATCTCACTTGATAATCTGGAGAGGGAGCATTTTAAAATAACTTGCAGCACTAGGCGTCACCTTCAAGTAGGAATGGTAACAGAGTGCTGCTTCCATTACGTCATTCTAGAGTTATCGGAGAAAGGCAGGCAGTAGGATTATTTAGCTTTAGCCGAACTTGCTAAAGTAAACATAAGAGGTTACTACTTAAAATATATATATATGTTTATCAGTCATCTCCACCCTTTCTAACCACTTCTCGGTAAGAAAAGGAAGAATTACTGATTTTTATAAAATCTCCTGGGCTCTGGGGAGATGGCTCAGTAGAATAAAGGGTCTGAGTTCAATCCCCAGTTCTGTAAAAAAAAAAAGAAAAGAAAATCTCCTGGTCACTGCACCTCAAATGGGTATTTGCCCAAAATGACCCCTAGAATGAGTAGTGCAGTACTGGTAGGTGGAAGAGGACCAAGGGACAGTCCAGGTACTTCTGCTCAGAGACAGGAGTGTGGTTGTAGGGCTAGCTTCTAACAGGAAGGGCAGGGAGGAAAAGATGTTGCAGTGGTCCCTCCTGAGGACCCCAACTTAACCCTGCCAGCTTCCTGTCACTGACTTGTCTTGCCCTCTTCAGAATTATCACTTATCCCTTGGCTCTTATTAGACGGAGCCTTCTTGAAAGTAAGCGTTTATTTTTGAGACATCTCACTGTGCAGTTCTTGCTGGCCTTGACCTCACAATGTAACCCAGGCTGACCTCATCTCACAGTGATCCCCCTGCCTCTGCCCCCTAAGTTCTGGGACTACAGTCATGTGCCACCTGCAAGGCAATACTTTTATTGTATACTTGACTAACTGTAAATTATTAGAAGCTCTAGAATCATTTTCATGACTAAATTTTTTAGTTTATGCTCACAATTTCAATCTGAAAAAAGTGATTGGACTGTAGTATGTCCATAATCTTTCATAAGAGAACAATGATTAACTAAATTGCAGGTTTATACATTTATTTGTGCAATAATTATGCGCACTTATTAATGTATAATGTTAAAATTTATGCTGTGATTTGCTATGAACATCCTTCACTCAGTTGAAATAGTACAGACTTAACTTTTTGTAATTTATTTCCCTAGGAGAGGGAATGAAACTCTCACTTTCTATGTTACATATTTTTATAATTATTTTTTAAAATGAGCATTTGCTAATCTTATGAGAAAAAACAGACATTTTAAAAGCAGTTGAATACTGTATTGGCAACGCTTGCGTTTTATCTGCACAGGTTTATAGCTTATTGCTTATAACATCACTACATATGACTGTGACATACATTTAGTCACATGAAGATTATTCTCTCGATTTAGCAAGGTCATTAAGAGCTGCTGCTATGGGAAGATCACTACGAGTCCAAGTTGTGTAGTGAGACCCTGGACCAAATGCATTAAAAGAAAAAAGAGAGAGCTGCTGCTATGCACTAAATTGATCACCTGCCATATTCAAGGCACTGAGTGGCTTACAAAAGAAGTATCAAAAATAGTTGTCAGGGTTCCGTCCTTGGCCTCCTCTCCTTACCCTCTTACTCTCCTATTCTCAGGAGAGCTGCACTTATAGTAACACTAACAAGGCTCAACTTCAACACTGTATATCTGCTCATTAAATATTACCACACAGTTATTTTATATGACCTCAGAATGTGTTCTGTTTAAATTGGCCTTTCCCTCCTCTCCCTCCTCATTCAAAAAAATCGTATCTTTCATTTTTTTCTCAATGAGTGAAAAGACCATTTGCCAACACAGGAGATTAAACACAAACAAATTGACAGTTTGTGTCCAGGGCTCTGGTTCTAACCATTGGACTATATTTCCTCTTAGTTTATTTATCTTAAACCGTAGCCCACATATCCAGTTATTCATCAAGCCCAGCGAATCCTGTGTCCTAGGAGTTTGTAGGCTCAGCTCACCTTTCTCCTATCCTTTCTCACAGCCCTGCACCATATCCTCAGTGCTTGGGCCACAGCCACTTGTGTGCCTGTACTCTGCTTGCCTCCGTTCCGTTCTCTCATGTGGTCTGTCCCCTGCACACTTGCTCAGTTCATTCCTCCACTTAAGATTGATTTTGGGCTTTCCATTTCCCACCAGGGCTCCTCCTGACCTGGCCCTAACCTTCCAGAGTTGCTGTGCCATTCCTGCGGCTCTTGAGCTTTTGCGTCGGTTCTCTCTTCTACTGCCTTCCTAGATCTCCTCTTTCTGGTTAACTTTGTTTTTCAGTTCTTGCATAAGCATCATTTCTTCCTGGAAACTTCATCTGACTTCCCTAGACTCAAATTCCCTGTTTGTTCATTGTGTAACATTTTTACTTTCATTTGGTATCTATCCCACTGTATTGTAGATATTTAATTGCCTCTCTGATTAGACCATAAACATCCTGAAACCAGAAGCAATGCCTGTCTCCTTCACCTTTCTGTTCCAGAGCATCTACGTGACCTTGATCATAGGGGGTACTTAGCAGTTAGTTGCTAAATGAATGACTGTATGAATAAATGAATGAGTGAATATTGCCTCTAAGAAAATTATTCTTGAATTAGAAAGAAAAACAATATAAACTAAGAGGCAATAATGATAATGACTTCTTCAGTTTCATCTTAGCTGCTCCTGGCAAGACCCAGGTCAAAATTTGGTTCTCCTAGCTAATTTCATGCTGTTTTCAAGGGCCAGGAATGCATTACATAGAACAAGTGTCGGGGCTGGGGAGATGGCTCAGTAGAATAAGTGCTTGCCTGGCAAGCACAAGAACAAGTGTCTTTGGAGCTATTTAAATCAGCACCTCATAGAATTAAGTTTTGTGGGTTTTTTGTTTGTTTGTTTTTGTGGGGGAGTGTGTATTTTGGTTGTTGAAGAGACTCACTAGAGCTCAGACTTGTAGTGATCCTCCTGTTTTCAGCCTCCCTAGCACTTGCTTTTGCAGGCACCACTACGCCTGGACTCTGGCCAGCTTAGTGTCCTGGGGGCAGGGCTGGCATGACAGGTGGTGCCAAGGATCACTCTGTGCTTGCCTAAGCAGGCGCTTTAGTCCACTGAGCTATTACCCCAGCCCCTGAGTTTTGGTTTTGATGTTAACTCCCTTTGCAAAATCAATTTAGTACCCACTTTGAATTTACCTTTTATAACACCAGATTGGAAATTTAGCCATATCAAAGCTAGAAGATGAAAGTTATGTTTTCCTCACTTTAAGACTATTCAAACAAATTAGATGATTGTCATAATTTATCTTTTTTCTTTTTTAGTTGTTATAGCTGCTGATGGAGTATTGAAGGTAGGACTATTTCTTTTGTAAAATTTATTAGTACATGTTTGAGGTCCATAGCGAATGCATCGTTGGGTAGTTGTTACTGTGCATGACATATCTGAATCCTTTTGACTTTCCCTTCCTCTCCCTTGCATCCATGCTCCCAACATCATTTGTTCCTTTTCCCATCTGGTGTTTTTTTTCTTTTTTTTTAATTTCAGAAATTGTCAATTTCAGATGTAAGTTCCATGACTAACAGTTCACATAGTAGTTAATAAGGAGAAACTTGATACTGGTTTTTCTGTTCTCAGATCTGTGACTTTGGTGCTTCCCGGTTCCATAACCATACAACACACATGTCGTTGGTTGGAACTTTCCCATGGATGGCTCCAGAGGTTATCCAGAGCCTCCCTGTGTCTGAAACTTGTGACACATATTCCTATGGTGTGGTAAGTGCAGTTTTCATTTCTTTCTGTTGCTAACGGATATACAAGAAGCAAACCACCTAGACACGAGTAATGCCACAGTTTAACCTTTGTGACAGTGCTATTTCTAGAAGACCACTTGAAGCAGAGGCTCAAGAGGGCACAACATAATTGTTAGAATGTGTATTTTGATCACCTTTTTGCATCTGAGTCATTCGCCCTGTACTGGAAACAAACCAGCACCACATCTAAGAAACAAGCTTAGATGTGACCTGAACTAGCATGGGGTCCAGTGCACCCCTGTGGACAGTGCCTTTTTGCTGAGTAGCAGCATGCCTGTAGAGTATGTCTGTTACTCAGTGAACATATGGATCATTTGGAACAAGACTTGATTATGATCGGTTGCTCAAGCAGTATAAAACCACCATCTGCCAAGTGAGCTAATTAACAGGAAACTTGAGTGTCAACTAGTAAACTGATAAATGACTTTCCAAAAGTATGGAAGAAAGCGTTAGGAGAGGGATTTACCCAGGCTGTAAGTCTTAGGAAGTAGCAGCGACTATCTTAAAAGTATATGTACTACATGAGAATGGCAGCCGAGAAGCACAGAAGAATGAATCATATAGGAATAAGGGAGGATGCTCAAGGGTTGGAGACCACAGGAAGGAACCAGCTCAGGAGTGCAAGCTTCTTTGAGAGTGGGATGAGTCAGGAAGAAAAAAGCCAGAGGTGGGGCAGTTCTTGCTGGAGGAAGGAGTTCATTTGTTGCTTAGAGGATAAGTTTTTTTCCCTAAAGTGCAGTATGTCCTTTGAAGAATTCAAAATAATATTTGGGACAGTCTGTATGCCACATATACTGTCTTTGCCTTTTCAACATCATTTCATAAAAGGACGTTTTCATTATAATAGAAAGAGGAACTGAGGAGCAGACTAGCTGGAGCCCAGATCAGCTGCTGTGCCTCCTGGACTCATGCATGTTCTTGCTGAGGGTGCTAGCAGGTGGCACCAGTGGAAGTTGGCACGGACACACTTGCTCCTGCTCCTTAGCCAGTTTCTGGGTATTTTCTGCCAAGTGTATAAATTCTGGGGTTCTTTCAGCAGGCCAGCTCTTTCTAAGTTATAACACATTCTCTATATACCAAACGACTATAATAGAGATACATTTTGTTGGCTGCTGAAAAAAATCATTTCAAGAATGAAATGCGTGCTTTTGGCTAATGGCTAGAATTTTAAAGGTTGGAAGATAGCACTAATATCAGGCAAAATATCTAACTCCCCTTAACTGAATATTTCTTTCTTTCTTTCTTTCTTTTTTTTTTTTTTTTTTTTTTTTTTTTTTTTTTTTTTTTTTTTTTTCAGAACTGGGAATTGAACTCAGGACCTTGCGCTTGCCAGGCAAGCGCTTATTCTACTGAGCTATCTCCCCAGCCCTTACTGAATATTTATAAAGATGAAAATTATATGCTAATACAGATAATGATAAAATAATTCTCATTGGAACAAGGAAAAAAAATGTCCCGAAGGAAATCAGATTCCAGCACAGGGGCCAGGAGTTCAATCCCTGGGCCTGCTGTGCTGGCCCCGTCCCCGGGGCTCACTGAGAGGGCAGTTGAGACTGGGCGTGGTGGCCCACATCTGTAATCCCAGCTCTTGGGAGGCTGTAAACAGGTGGATCACTATGAGTCCAATTTAGTAGTGAGACCCCGAACACCCTGTAGACCCTTCCCTAAAGAAATACCCAAAAAAATCAGACTCTAAAACTGATCTCCTGTTTCAAAAGATACTGCATTTTAATCATTAAACATTCATATTGTAGGATTCTGAAATGGAGACACTTGTCGAAATTTAAGACCTTGTAAAATTTTTCTCATAAAGTTGTAACCCTTCAGTTTTAAGCAAAATGAAATATATATGTAGGTATGTATGTATAGATTGAGTTAGGCCTGTGCTGGGCTGCAACTTAGGATAATTTAGCTTTGGAGTAGCCTCCTCATTGCCACTGGTACCTCACTTTGCCTCATGGAACCAGAGCCAGTAAACATTTTCTGTAAAGGGCCAGAGAGCCAAGAATTTTTGGCTTTGAGGGCTGATTGCACTCTCTCTTGCCTAGTTAGTTGTCTTTAGGGTTTTTTTTTTAACCCTTTAAACCACTCAGCGTGGCAGCAGGCTTCCTTTGCAGACCCGTCTGGAGTGAGTGGGCTGAGGAATGAGTAAGCAGCAAGGCTGAGAACACACCCGGCATCCCCAGTGCCTGCTCACCTACCTAGCGGTTCAGCAGGAGGCCGGCTCTGACTCCTGTTAGGGGCATGTGTATAGAAAAGCGTATGAATACACTTAGGCGGTCATGGTATTTAAATTATTTTCCTGGTATATGAGTTGGGAAACTTTCAAGGCTCATTTTGCCCTTTGAGCCCATATGGTGCCTTTATTGTAAAAATTCTCTCTTAAGTCTTGCAATTTCCCTATTAGAACTTTGGACCCAAAGATATTTCTATGAGTTATGTGTAGAAGAAACCTCTGGGTCATGGTATTACTTCATTTATCAAAACAAACTACAGGCCACTTTCTTTCAAAGCCTTCTTAGCTGCCAGGAACTTTGGTGTAAAATATAGTCATCTGCTTTTCCTTAGCTGAAATACAGTTTGTGTACCAGTAACCAAGAGCAAATGTCTTAAAAAAGAAATTGTTGGGGTTGGTGAGATGGCTCAGTGGTCTAAAGCACCTACTTAGAACAAGCTTAGCAAAGCACAGGGACCGCAGTTCAATCCCCCAGCACCGCATGCCAGCCAGCCCCGCCCCCTGTTGGGCTGAGCTGGCCACACACACACACACACACACACACACA